AAATATAGCTATTCATGTTGTTCTTACTGGAGTATAACACCTCTGTATCCCTGATGATTGCATGTTGGAGATCCAGTGCAGGAAAACATCGCTCTTTGTAGCACTCCATGGTGGGTGGGGAGCAGGGGTGCTGAATAAATTACTTTCATCATGGCTCACAATCAATCTGGTTCGAACCGTTATGACAAGAAAAGACGTCTAGAAGCTGAGATTTTCTCGGCTGATGAAGATGTTTCTCCTTCACCAAAATCAAATTCTTGGGCTCGGTTTCTTGTAGTCGAAGCACGAAATGAACAACCATTAAAAATAAACCCTTTTGCCATATGTAAAGCCATTGAAGGTATTTGTGGTGAGGTAAAGAATGTTTCACGTCTCAGGAGCGGCTCTCTTTTGGTAGAGTGTGCACGGAGACAGCAGGCTATTAATCTTTTGCAATGTACCATCTTTGCAAACACTCAAGTTGTTGTCTCTGAACACCGAACTTTAAATTCGATTCGGGGGATCATCCGCGACAGAGCACGTTGTCTGGCAGAAATGTCTGAAGAAGATATTCTTGAGGAACTAAAAGGACAAAGCGTCACGTCGGTGAAGCGTTTCACTAGAAAGGATGGGGAGAACATTGTTCCAACAAATACATATTTGTTCACTTTTTCTCTTGCAACTATTCCCCAGTCTATAAAGGCAGGCTATTTTAACATAGGAGTGGATGTGTATGTCCCCAATCCACTCCGGTGTTACAAATGTCAAAAATTTGGACACGGCCCCAAATCATGCACTCGTCCTACTGTTTGTCACCGTTGTGGTAGCAATCATGACGGTTTGGATTGTACAGCAGACCTCAAATGTATAAAGTGTACGGGTCAACATGTAGCGTCATCCAAATCCTGTCCTTTTTGGAAACGTGAAAAAGATATTTTGACTATCAAATGTCAAAACAATGTTTCTTACCTTGATGCTAAAAAACTCTTTGATAGCCGGACGCCTTCCTCAAAACAATCCTATGCTGCTGCTGCTGCTGCTGCTGCTACGGTCTCTCGCCCTTCAACCAGTAGATCTATTGAATGTCAAACTGACTTGACTTGGACATACTCTGAACATCCGGTGCCTCTGACTACAACAGCCGAGAGTCAGACACATCAGTCCGTCAGTCCATGTGATATATCTTCAGCATCTCCAGTTGTGCCGCAGGCTGTGACCCCATCACCACCAACCCCGGAACTACCATCTTCTGTAATGTCAGCTCCAAACAAACCTTCCACGGAATCGCGAAAAAACAAAAGAAAAAACAAAGTAAAAAAATTACAACAAAGATTCCCACTTTCACTGAAACATCTGTAGATGTTCATAACTTTTTTGAGCCTCTTGAGATGGATGTTACCCCATCTTCACACCACAACAGTAGTGGTGACTCATCTTCACATTCACGTGAGCGTTCTCCTATAGAACCACCATGAATCGTTCTAGTCTAATTCAATGGAATTGCAGAGGGCTTAGGCACAACTTTAATGAACTACAGTTATTAACAACAGATTTTATTCCATCAGCAATTTGTTTACAAGAGACGTACTTAAAAAATACAGATAAATTTGAATTAAGGCCGTATAGTTCCTATCATTCTTTTTCTCCTCCGGGAGATAAAGCTACTGGAGGTGCTTCTATGTTGGTGCGGCGGGGCATTGTTCACAGTCCTGTTCCGCTTGACACGAATTTGCAAGCAGTTGCAGTTAGACTTACACTGCATATTGCCTTCACACTTTGCTCCTTATACATTCCTCCATCTTCAAATCTTCAGCGTAATGATCTACAAAAACTATACGACCAGCTCCCAAAGCCCTGTGTCATCATGGGTGATCTAAATGGGCATAATCCTTTATGGGGAAGTTCAACCATTAATCAAAAGGAAAAAGTGATCGAAGATTTTGTTTCCGATAATGCTCTTTGCATTTTTAATGATGACTCTGACACTTACTTACACCCTGCTTCTGGTACCTATTCATCGTTAGATCTGTCTTTGACGGATTCAGTTTTGTTAAATGAATTCTCATGGTCCGTCCACGATGACCTATGTGGGAGTGACCATTTCCCCACGGTGCTTAAACCCATTAATCCCACTGATGATCCACCTTCACCTCGATGGAATTTCGTAAAGGCTGATTGGCTTTTATTTCAATCTTTATGCAAAGATAAATTACAGACTACGTCTTTTCAGAATGTTATTGACCCCATTCAGTTGTTCTCAGATCAACTGAATGAACTTGCTGATGAATCAATACCTAAGTCCTCTATCAACCCACGTGTTCGTAAACCATGGTTTGATGACTCGTGCAAACAAGCTAGGAAATGTCGTAAGAAGGCGGAGAAATACCTCCATAAACATCCTACTGTCCATAATTTAAACACTGTCAAAATTTCAAATGCCAAGGCAAGACGTCTATTTAAGCAAAATAAACCTCAATCATGGAGGAAATATGTCTCCAAAATAAACACTCGTACCCCTATGTCCAAGGTATGGAACATGATCAAAAAGATCAAAGGCAAGGGATCAAATTCTACAGTAAACCATTTAAAGGATGGCGACACTTTGCTAACGGATAAATCTGCTATTGCCAATAGACTTGGGAAAACATTATCTCAACATTCGTCTTCATCTAATTACGTTCCCGAATTTCAAAAATATCAGCTTCAACAGGAAAAGAAAAAAGTAAATTTTACATCTGATAATGGTGAAGATTACAATGAGGTATTTTCACTACATGAGCTACATCCTGCCTTAGGGCAAGCTCATGATACAGCAGCAGGCGCTGATAATATTCATTATCAGCTACTTAAACACTTGCCAGAATCATGTCTTGAAACTATGTTGAATATATTCGATGATATTTGAACAGCAGGGACATTTCCACCTTCATGGCATAAAGCCATTGTTATCCCCATACCCAAACCTTGGCGGGATCATTCTGATCCATCAAATTACCGACCTACCTCTCTTACTAGCTGTGTTTGTAAAACGATGGAACGCATGGTAAATAATCGGTTAGTGTGGTACTTAGAAACAAATAATCATCTTACTAATATACAATGTGGTTTCCGGAAAAACAGAAGTACTATCGATCATTTAGTGCGTTTAGAATCGTTCATTAAAAATTCCATTGTAAACAGACAACATGCTGTATCGATCTTTTTCGATTTAGAAAAAGCTTACGATACGACGTGGAAACATGGTATTTTAAAAGATCTTTATGATTTTGGATTAAGAGGCCGTCTGCCTCATTTTATATCCCAGTTTTTAACAGACAGGCAATTTCAAGTCCAAGTGGGTACAACCCTGTCTGATCATTATAATCAGGATCAGGGTGTCCAACAAGGCAGTATTTTGTCTGTCACTTTATTCAGTATAAAAATTAACAGTTTGTCAAAAGTATGTCTAAATAAAATTAACAAGCGGTGTCTAGAAAACGGGTTTAAATTTTCCAAATCAAAAACTAATTGTATACATTTCTGCAGAAAATATAAACCGCATAAGGACCCTGAACTCTTTCTGAATGGCACCCCTATCAAAGTTGTTAAGGAGGCCAAGTTCTTGGGACTTTTTTTTGATAACCACTTAACTTTCCTCCCACATATTAAATACCTTAAAGCTAAATGCCTGAAGGCACTCGATCTATTGAAAGTTGTTTCTAATTCCAAGTGGGGAGGGGATCAAACAACCCTCTTACACTTATACAGGTAACTGATCCGTTCAAAACTTGATTATGGCTCCATCGTCTATGGTGGAGCCTGTAAAAGTAATTTAAAAAAACTTGATACCATCCATCATCAGGGCCTGAGGCTTTGCCTTGGTGCCTTCAGGACGTCTCCAATTCACAGTCTGTATGTAGAAGCGGATGAACCTTCTCTTAAACAACGCCGTCTAAAATTATCTTTACAATGTGTCACTAAATTATATTCTAATCAGTCCAATCCAGCTTTTAATTGCGTCTTTAATCCTCTTTACCAAGATATTTACAATAAAAAGTCATCTCTTGTTCCACCACTCGGAATCAGAATCCAGTCTGCCATGTTTGCTTCCAATATTAAACTGCAAGATATAGCTCCCACTCAACTGTTTTCAACACCTCCTTGGCAAATGGTACGGCCAGAGGTAGACCTTACATTAAGAAAATTAAAGAAATCTGATACTAACCAATTAATTTACCAACAAGAATACCATCAACTAAGAAACACTTACGACACTTATAAATCTATATTGGATCCAAGGATGGTGGCGCAGTTGCTAGTGCCACTGTCATTGGATCCAGAACAATCTCTTCACGTTTACCTGATAACAGTTCAATATTCACTGGGCACTCGTGAAGAGCAACCTCCTCGTGGTGAGTGCTGGGTAACGCTAATAGCTCTTCCCCCGTGTGGACTCGGGGTAGAATTTGTCCACAGCACCCCATTGCTGGTCGTAAAAGGCGACCAAATTGGGCAACCCGTTTGCCGTGGGTTGCGCCCCTGTGTCGGCGGAGGACGGGATTCTGGTGGTTGAGGGCATTGGAGCCAGGAACAAGTGTTCCTTTTGCCCAACACACCACTTCGACCCTTACTTCGCCTAGACGGGTGGTAGAATTGGCCCGATTCTATCAATCGGCTGGTCACGTCATGCCCTAGCATGAAATACATGGCTATATTATTAAGAATATAATTGCACGCTAAACTTTGTTGTCAAAATCATTGTTTTGTTCCTGTTTGCCTAGAGTCGTATGCCAGAAGGCGGTGGCTCATGGGCCAATCTGGAGATAGAGACCTCTGAATTCTGTGTTTCTTGGGGAAAGTGTTATGGGCCGAACCAGCCTGACGCTTATTCTTTTTGATCTCATAGCTTTTCAAGTCTATATTTTCTGGAGTATAGCACCTCTGTATCCCTGGTGTTGCAGGTTGGCTTCTACTGTGACATCGTCCTTGTTGACACTCGATGGCGGGTGGGGAGCAGGGGTGCTGAATCACTACATAACACCATGGCTCACCACAATCTATCTGGTTCTTTCAAAACAAATAAACGTCGTCATGTCGATTCTTTAACGTCTGACGAAGAAGAAACATCAACTGAGATTGCAGATTCTTGGCCGAGATTCATTGTCATCGCATCTGCTGATGGCAATCCTTTAAAACTAAATCCTTTCGCTATCTCGAAAGGCATTCAAAGTGCCTGTGGAGAAGTTACCAATGTTACACGTCTTCGTTCTGGTTCCATCCTTGTGGAAAGTGCACGGAGACAACAATCTGTCAATCTGCTGGGTCTACAGCAGTTTGTTAACACCCAGGTTGTTGTTTCGGTGCACAGGACACTAAATTCAAGTAGAGGCATTGTCAGGGACCGCGCACGCTGTCTTTCTGACATGGCAGAAGAAGAGATTGCTGCTGAATTGAAACATCAAGGGGTCACTGCTGTTAAGCGGTTCAGTAGAAAATCAGAAGATGGAAAATTTATCCCAACTAACACATATCTTTTTACTTTTTGTCTTGCTAAAATACCAAATTCTATTAAAGCCGGTTACTTTAACATCGGAGTGGAGGTTTATGTTCCAAATCCTCTCCGGTGTTACAAGTGTCAACAGTTTGGACACGGGGCAAAAACTTGCACTCGCAAGGCCAGATGCTTCCGTTGCAGTGGAATTCACGAAGGTTCCGAGTGCACAGATGATGTCAAGTGTGCCAACTGCGATGGGGAGCATGTGGCCTCATCCAAATCATGTCCAGTGTTCGTATCAGAATCACAGATCTTATAACTGACGCACACGCAAAATATTTCTTATTCTGCTGCCAAACAATTGGTACAACTTCCATCAAAATCACCCGCAAATATCACTTATTCAGCTGCAGTCTCTTCTCCGCCGCCAGTTCTCAAAATTACTACAGCCTCTACATCCTGCCAGACTTTGATCTCTTGGGTAAAAGATGACCAGTTTACCATCGACGATGCACAGACATCTCAATCTATGAAGTCTACTTCAGCTTCCCAGACAGACCATTTAACATCAGCACCTCAGCTTCTGCAAACTCAGAAAACGGTACCTCCATCAGAACCCAGCCATGTGAAAGTCACCAAAAACATTCAGGGCGAAGCCCATCTGACTAAAACGGAAAAAAAGAAGTTAAAAAAGATAAGGGCTCTCCAGCACTTGGATTTGCCTTCTCTTGCTGACACCACAGTAGAGGTTCATAATCCATTTGAGCCTCTAGCGATGGAGGTCAGTCCCTCACTCCCGGTTCGTGGGAGTGGACCTCCCTCTCACTCAAGAACTCCAGTTGAGCCTCCATGAATGGCTCCAATACTCTTATTCAGTGGAATTGCAGGGGACTAAAGAATAATTTTAATGATTTACAGTTATTGATACAGGATTTTAAACCATCAGCATTTTGTTTACAAGAAACGTATTTTAAAGATAATGATCAAATCAACTTGAGGCAATATGATGCATATAACTTCTTTTCTCCTCCAGGACCTAGGGCTACTGGAGGATCGTCAGTGTTGGTGAGGCAGGGTGTTACATAGCCCTGTTCCACTTAATACTCCACTTCAAGCTGTTGCAGTCCGTTTAAGCCTCAACATTGTTTTCACATTGTGTTCGCTTTATGTACCTCCATCTTCTACTCTTCACCAAACTGATCTTCAGGCACTCTATGACCAGCTCCCCAAGCCCTGTATCATTATGGGCGATTTGAATGGGCATAATTCACTTTGGGATAGTGCTGACACGAACAGTAAAGGTAAGCTATTAGAAGATTTCATTTCGAACAACGATTTATGCATCTTTAATGATAACTCTAAAACTTATTTACATCCTGGAACAGGCACTTATTCTTCTCTTGATTTATCACTTACCAACTCCGATCTGTTGAATGAATTCGAATGGTCAGTCCACGACGACCTTTGTGGAAGTGACCATTTCCCGACTATTCTTCAAACAATAATTCCAACTGATGTTCCTCCATCATCACGATGGAACTTCACAAAGGCTAACTGGCCTTTGTTCAAATTACTTTGTACGAGCAAATTACATACTGATCTTTTTGTTGATGTTCCTGATTCTATTACGGTGTTCACTGATGAACTGTACAAAATAGCTGATGATTGTATTCCAAAGTCCTCTGTAAATCCACACATCCGTAAACCATGGTTTAACAATGACTGCAGGCAAGCTAGGAAGGCACGGAAAAAGGCTGAGCGTTATTTCCGTCGCCATCCGATGGTCCATAATTTGAATCATTTTAAAATTTCAAATGCTAAAGCCAGGCGTACTTTTAAACATAATAAACGCCAATCTTGGCGTGATTATGTTTCAAAAATAAATTCACGAACGCCCATGTCTAAGGTATGGAATATGATACAGAAAATTAAAGGTAAGGGTTCGAAATCTAGCGTCCACCATCTTAAGAATGGGGATGACCTATTAACTAACAAATCGGATATTGCAAATAAACTTGGTGAAACGTTAGCAAAACATTCTTCCTCCTCGAACTATGTGAGTGAGTGAGTGAGTGAGTTAAGATTTAACGTCACATCGGCAGTATTTCAGCCATATCGTGACGAGAAATACATAAATGTATACAAGATAAAAAGCTGTCAACGATGGACAGTAAAATTACTAGAATATCACAGATTAATATTTAAAACTAGCATACAACTATAAAAGAGATCACTATATATAACGGTACAATATAAAAAAGGGCTATAGATCGCCAGCAGCTGAAGGTAGATCACCATGCTAGGGTCCATGGGGACTTACAGTACTTTTGCTACCTGCATGGACCCCAGCCGGATTTACATCATCCCTTCCGCTGTTGGCGATTAATGACAAATCTAGCCAGAATAAATGAACATATATACTACGTCTAAAAACGAGCAGAAATAAACATACTTTGAAAGACGTGGTCTTACATACCCTCTCAGGGGGACAATAATTTTACACTACTTTAACCCCCTTCGAGGACATAGCCACTAACAATCCGAGTTACTGAATAATTCTACCAATTATAAAAGTTATTTATTTAATTACAAACTATAACAATCAAAATTTATGCAGTAATTCGATTTCCTTTAAAAAACCAATAATTAAATGACTACTTACCTGATAAAAAAGATCCTTGATACATGATACCTGGAAATATTTATCCCTTGTGATGGAAAAATCAATGCAGTCAAGCAGGACATGCTTGACCGTGATTCTTTCATCACAAGGGACGCAGAATGGAGGATCTTCACCTTTTAAAATATATTCATGAGTATAACGTGAATGGCCAATACGACATCGTCTTAAAATGACCTCTTCAAATCTGGACTGACAACCCAAGTAGGTATAACCGATATTCGCTTTTATTGCATGTAATTTATTTATTCCAACTTGGGTGTCCCACTTCTTCTGCATTAGATCTCTGATGTAAGATCTAATGACAGGTTTATAATCACTGTATGGTAAAAGAAGTGGTGTCACAGATTTGTTGAGTGCTGCTTTTGCGGCAGCATCAGCCAGTGTGTTACCAACAATCCCAACATGGCTTGGTAACCAACAAAAAACGATGTCATATTAGCCAGTCGCAAGATCATTAAATAACTCAAGAATTTCAATTAAAAATGGATGTTTACATGACATATTTTTAATAGCCTGAAGGCACGAAAGTGAATCTGAAAAAATAATGAAGTCTTTATATTTTGATTTCTTCTTGATATATTGTAGTGCTGTTAAAATTGCGTGCGCTTCTGCTGTGAATATGGAGCTATTATCGGGTAAACGTGAAGATACTGTTCTGGATCCAATGACGGTGGCACTAGCAACTGCGCCACCATCCTTGGATCCATCTGTAAATATAGATTTATAAGTGTCATAAGTGTTTCGTAATTGATTGTATTCTTGTTTATAAATAAGTGGATTTGTATCAGATTTCTTAAGTTTTGTTAATGTGAGGTCTACAGTTGGTCTTACCATCTGCCAAGGAGGCGATGAAAAAAGTTTTGTGGGAGCTATATCCTGAAAGTTAATGTTCGCAGCAGAAATGACTGATTTAATTCTTATTCCTAGTGGTGGAACAAGAGATGTTTTCTTATTGTAAATATCTTCGTAAAGAGGATTAAATACGCAATTAAAGGCTGGATTTGACTGATTAGAATATAATTTAGTGATGTATTGTAATGATAGTTTCAGACGGCGTTGTTTAAGAGAAGGCTCATCCGCCTCAACAGACAGACTTGGAATAGGAGAAGTGCGAAAGGCTCCAAGGCAAAGCCTCAGTCCTTGGTGATGGATAGCATCAAGTTTTTTTAAATTACTTTTACAGGCTCCACCATAGACGATGGAGCCGTAATCAAGTTTTGAACGGATCAGTGACCTGTATAAGTGTAGGAGGGTTGTCTGATCCCCTCCCCACTTGGAGTTGGATACAACTTTCAATAAATCAAGCGCCTTCAGGCATTTAGCTTTAAGTGATTGAATGTGTGGTAAGAAAGTTAAATGGCTATCAAAGATGAGTCCCAAGAATTTGGCCTCCTTTACAACTTTGATAGGGGTGCCATTCAAAAATAATTCAGGGTCTTTATGCGGCTTATATTTTCTGCAGAAGTGTATACAGTTAGTTTTAGACATAGAAAATTTGAACCCGTTTTCTAGAGACCACTTATGAATTTTATTGAGACAGATTTGTAACTGCCTCTCTATGGTATGCATATTTTTACCACAACAAGATGCATTAAAATCATCCACGAACAGTGATCCATCCACTGAATTACTTAAAACCTTGGACAGACTATTAATTTTAATACTAAACAAGGTGACAGACAAAATACTGCCTTGTGGGACACCCTGATCCTGATTATAATGGTCAGACAGGGTGGAACCCACTCGGACTTGAAATTGTCTGTCTGTTAAAAATTGTGATATAAAATGAGGCAAACGGCCTCTCAAGCCAAAATCATGTAAATCCTTTAGAATGCCATGCTTCCAAGTAGTATCGTAGGCTTTCTCAAGATCAAAGAAAATTGATACTACGTGTTGTTTGTTGACAATAGCATTTTTCACAAAGGATTCTAATCGTACTAAATGGTCGATAGTACTTCTATTTTTTCGGAAACCACATTGGATATTTGTTAATAGATTATTGGTTTCCAGATACCAAATTAATCTATTATTAACCATTCGTTCCATGGTTTTACATACGCAGCTTGTTAAGGAGATAGGTCGATAGTTCGAGGGATCTGTATGATCCCGGCCAGGCTTCGGTATTGGGACTACAATGGCATTATGCCATGAAGTAGGAAAATTCCCTGATGTCCATATTTGGTCAAATATATCTAAAAGTGTCTCCAGACAAGATTCTGGTAAATGTTTTAAAAGCTGGTAATGAATGTTATCAGCTCCTGTTGCTGTGTCATGAGCTTGCCCAAGGGCGGTATGTAGCTCATGTAATGAGAAGACTTCATTATAGTCTTCACCATTATCAGAAGTGAAATTAACTTTTATCTTTTCCTGTTGTTTCTTAAATTTTTGAAACTCCGGGACATAGTTATATGTTGAAGAATGTTTTGCTAACGTTTCTCCAAGTTTATTGGCAATATCTGTTTTATCCGTTAATAACGTGTCACCTTCCTTAAGATGGTGAACAGACGATCTTGAACCTTTGCCTTTTATTTTCTGCACCATATTCCACACCTTGGATATTGGCGTGCGGGAATTTATTTTGGAGACATAGTTCCTCCAAGACATACGCTTATTTTGTTTAAAAGCACGTCGTGCCT